AAATTAGAGAAGTAGACGGTTCCATGACACATGCTCCGCCGACGATTGCTCCGCCGACATTTACTCCGCAAAAAGCGACAATTGCTCCGCGACATTTGCTCCGCGACATTTGCTCTGACGTCAAATGCTCCGCCGACAGGTGCTCCGCCGACAGTTGCTCCGCCGACAGTTGCTCCGCCGACAATTGCTCCGCCGACAGATGCTCCGCCGACAATTGCTCCTCCGACAATTGCTCCGCCGACAATTGCTCCGCCGTCAATTGCTCCGCAAAACGCGACAATTGCTCCGCCGACATTTGCTCCGCCGACATTTGCTCCGCCTGAAACGACACTTGCTCCGCCGACATTTGCTCCGCCGACATTTGCTCCGCCGACATTTGCTCCGCCGTCAATTGCTCCGCCGACAATTGCTCCGCCTGAAGCGACAATTGCTCCGGTGACATTTGCTCCGCCGACAATTGCTCCGACGACATTTGCTCCGCCGACAATTGCTCCGCCGACAATTGCTCCGTCGACAATTGCTCCGGTGACATTTGCTCCGCCGACAATTGCTCCGACGACATTTGCTCCGCATGAAGCGACACTTGCTCCGGTGACATTTGCTCCGACGACATTTGCTCCGCCCAAAAAGTGTCCCATTAAATACAAATGCTACTAGTACTACGACAAATGCTTCGCCGACAATATTTTTTTTTCACGGGTTGTTTTTGTTTCTTTCTTTTTTTCTTCATTTTCTGAATGCATTTCATGAAATTATGTAAATGAAATGAAATGAATGAATGTTGATAATGTGGGAGGAAAAAGCAGTTGCCTAAAAGTCATTTCGAATATACTGAAATAACTTTCCATCTATCACTGTACGTCCCACATAATGTACACTAAACACTCATTACATGTCATGGGAAGTTTTTTTTTTTTTAAAGTAGAGCAGCAAGCCACATTCCCCAATACGCGCATACCTCCTAGTTAATTTCAAACAGCTCATCAATACGTAAGACCTGAAATTACCTCAATGTAAGAAGACTAATAACATGAGAGGAAAGAAAAGAGCAAAAAAGACAACCGTTTTTTGCTATTCCCCATAATGTTTGATTAAAAAAAAAAAAAAAAAAAATTATAGCTCCTTACGCAAGTTCTCCGGCGAAAGATAATTACTCCGCTCAAAATCTGTTTCATGTATTACTCATTAGCTGATCCAAAGCTCAAGGCTATCTCTCTCTCTCTCTTTCTCTCTCTCCCATGCTCCTCCTTTTCCTGTTTACACCGTTTTCTTGTCTTCTTTGCTCTTTTCTTTCCTCTCATGCTATTAGTCTTCTTTCATTTCCATCACTTCTTCTCTGCTCCCCCTCTCGAGTTCTATTTCTCTCGTGAAATTGAAACGTAAAGTAATACAATCATGTAGTACATTCTTGTTTAGAATAATATTTTCAATAATATCCAGTCCATTTTCTAAAGGTTTCTTTCCTTTAGTTAAGTGTATGTAGCTTTAATATATATATGTTAGTGTGCAAAACACTCCGTTTCATTCGAGTACTTTGTTTTCACTAAATAATTTAAGGGACTCACGAAGCCACCGGATGAAGAGCAATTGGCTTATCATGAAGAACTAACATCAAACTGCAACAAAATGATTTGTATAAATGTGAATAAGCAGAAAGGCTGCCATCTCATTTTCCCGTCTGAATGGGTTCTCTTCCTTACGTATATAAGTGCCCTTATTTTCTAAACTTTTTTTTTATATTTGTGTGTTTATTAAATTTTCAATCATATAAAAATTACATATTTACAAGTCATTGGTAATAATTAGACAAAAAAAAAAAACAATATGTATAAGAACAACTAACAATAATGAAAGGACAAGAAAGTTATAAAAAAAAAAACATTATAGTAAAAAAAAAATACACTGTACACATATAAATCATAGTTTGAACTCCAGTGCATAAAGGGGAGTGAGGGGGCACAGGAATAAAAGTTAAATCAACATGAGTATCATAAGTCAAATCGCCATTTCTTAAAATGCGAAACAAGCTTGTTCCTTTTTTTCGCTGAGAAATATTCAATATCTTTTTGTTTCTTTATAAAACTCTTAAAAAGATCAACACTTGGTAAATCCCCCTTACTTATTTTCTAAACTTCCATGATGACCTATTACATTGTATAATGCTTTACCTAGTAAGATGCATTGATCGAGGTAATTTCAGGTATTACATATTGATGAGCTACTTGAAATTAACTAGGAGGTATGCGCGTATTGGGGAATGTGGCTTGCTGCTCTACTTTTTTTTTTAAACTTCCCACGACATGTAATGAGTGTTTAGTGTACATTATATGGGACGTACAGTGATAGATGGAAAGTTATTTCAGTATATTCGAAATGACTTTTAGGTAACTCCTTTTTCCTCCCACTTCATCAACATTCATTCATTTCATTTCATCTACATTATTTCAAGAAATGCATTCAGAAAATGAAGAAGAAAAAAAGAAACGAAAAAATAGGTGTAAAGAAAATATTGTCGGCGAAGCATTTGTCGTAGTACTAGTAGCATTTGTAGTTTATAGGACACTTTTTGGGCGGAGCAAATGTCGTCGGAGCAAATGTCGGCGGAGCAATTGTCGCTTCAGGCGGAGCAATTGTCGGCGGAGCAATTGTCGGCGGAGCAAATGTCGGTGAAGCAAATGTCGGCGGAGCAAATGTCGGCGGAGCAATTGTCGCTTCAGGCGGAGCAATTGTCGGCGGAGCAATTGTCGGTGGAGCAAATGTCGGCGGAGCAAATGTCGGCGGAGCAATTGTCGCTTCAGGCGGAGCAATTGTCGGCGGAGCAATTGTCGGCGGAGCAAATGTCGGCGGAGCAAATGTCGGCGGAGCAATTGTCGCGTTTTGCGGAGCAATTGACGGCGGAGCAATTGTCGGCGGAGCTATTGTCGGCGGAGCAATTGTCGGCGGAGCATCTGTCGGCGGAGCAATTGTCGGCGGAGCAACTGTCGGCGGAGCAACTGGCGGCGGAGCAACTGTCGGCGGAGCATTTGACGTCGGAACAAATGTCGCGGAGCAAATGTCGCGGAGCAATTGTCGCGTTTTGCGGAGTAAATGTCGGCGGAGCAATCGTCGGCGGAGCATGTGTCGGGTTACCGAAGTAGACTGGTGAAAGTTTGAATGAAATTGAACAAAAAATGAAGTTGTTATAAATTTTATAATTTGTAATCAGTACAGTATGGCTCTTCAAATTGGCTGAATTGGTGATGCAATGGTGGACAAATCTACTTGTATGGACATGATTTACCTATGACAAGGACATCATTTAAAGCTTTCTTTATGGCGACCACTATTTTTTATGTATGATTGTTAAGTGACCATTTTAAAGATCCATATATTTGTGATGGTTTATATGGACACAAAATGAATAGGCCTATCTAAATCAAATCAAATCAAATTTTTCCATTTGCTCCAACACACAAGATAACTGAAATTTCTTTTTTTCCCAAAATGGTTGACTCAGGTGTGTCTATAATAATAGACAGTGTGACCTATAATAATATGCTATCCCTAATTTATTTTAATTAGTACCCCTAGAGAGAAGGCATTTAGGAGAAAACTAGATGAAATTTCGACTGCGCGCAGTCGAAAATGATGCCTCCGCCATAGAGCGATTTTACAAACCAAAACGGAAGCAATTTTTAATATTCAAGTTTGATAGTAATCCATAACGGGTTCTCAGAATATCCTGATTACAAGCTATTTTTCATATACATGGCTCTGCAAGATAAATTTCTGTCCTAAGCTTCATAGTTATCTATCTTCGCTTCTAATTGTAATGCGTTCACAAGCTATTTATATGCATACATAATCAGCCCCATGACCTTTGATCTCATGACCCTATAATCTAATCAGTTCTTGCCGTTGGGTATGATGTGTAAACCGGGTGTGCGTAAATGGTGTGTTGGGGAGGGGAAGTGAGAGTGTTCGTGTGTACGGTAATTGTGTACGGTATGTGTGTCAGATGGTTGATCATAAATCTACAATGACGAGTAAACTGTCTACATCACAGTCCACAGAAATATGTGCCTTGAACGTATATAGCAGACGGCAATCGGCCGCGGCAGACGACACTTGATAGTGATTTTGTATGTGAGATTGCCATATAGCTCCGTTTAGTCTCATTTCACAACGCCCCCTATCGTCAGAGTCAGCAGCCTAACATGTTAGCATATGGAATCCTAAAAAAAAAAAAAAAATCGTTAAAAATTCATTTTTTGTTTAAACGAAAAGCACATCCACCCCGACGTACGTTATCACTAGCTCTTTCATTGGAACCCTCATGTCCCATTGACTTTTGAAAGTTCACCCACCGTAATTTGATCAAAATAGGTTGCAAGCTCGTCATTGCCTATGATAAAGCGATTTTAAGAATATAGGTCAAGCACACGAAGGATAAGAAGCATGAATTATCATAGATAACTTCTGCTTGGTTCATTATGTCCATTTCATCCAACCCCCCACCGTAATTTGTCCATTTAGTAAAAGCAAACATTTTGCCGAGGTAGGCAAAAACATGAATATTCATGAACGGTCAGACAATACAGCCTTTTAGTACGTAACGTATAGTGAATGGGAATGGGCGATGATCGTTCCAGGAGGTAGAGGTCGGTGGTTTGTGCTGGCAATGTTCCAGCGAGCGAAAATGAGACAAACGGAGCAATATGTTTGCTAAATATAAAATACAAGAACCTTTTCCATATCTTTAAACTATCATTGATATCTGATAATTAAACAGTTATTAAAAATAAACCTACCAAACTACATAATACAGTGAAAAACTTGACTGAAAGGAGGGGAAATTTATGTGGTGCACAATTGCACCCCTCTGTAGATAATCGAATAGTCCATGGTTTATCATGAATATTCATGTTTTTGCTTACCTCGGCAAAATGTTGGCCAACACTTAATGGAAATATTACGGTGGGGGGTTGGCTGAAATGGGCGAAATAAAAGTGAGTGGATTGTCATCCAAAATCAGGGTTTCCAAGCTGGGAAGATAAGCAATGCCAAATATTTTGGATATCAGGTTGCTAGTCAGGTCCACAAAGTACAAAGACTGCAATCCTCTGAATGAGTCGCTATCTACTCTTGTTAGTTTTGCGTAGCTTAACTGGATATTCTTCAGTGGTCGGATAAATTCGATTTTATTCTTGTTGCTTATTGGGTTGTAGCTTATGGTGATATCAATTAATCTACGCAGGTTGGAAAAAGCACGAGCTAAAATACTATAAATTTTATTTTTTGACAGGTCTATCGATAGAAGATTTTGAACATCAAACCGTCCCGATATAAATGCTATTTCATTGCCCGACAAACTGATTATTTCCAAACTAGATAAATTTGCTAGATCGGAAGGTGATATTGTGACAATTAGATTCTGGTTCAAATTAACATATACCAGGTTACTTAGTCCAGAAATACGGGAAATGGATGTCATCAGGTTATTGTTTGCTGATAGGGAGGACAGCATAGGTAGTAGGGTTAAATTATGGATATCCTTTATAGAGCAAACGTCGAAGTTTACAACTCGAAGGTGAGTATGGCTTTTCATAGTTGCATAATTCATTTCCCCTCCAACAACTGAAAGAATCTGCAGCCTAGGCATCTTGGTCAGTATTCTAGCTATCCCATCGGCATCATCATGAGACGTTTCCACAGTAATGGTCAGTTCTGTGAGATTTTTGAGAAGTGGAATTTCCTGCAGTTTGATGACCTCACTTTGATGCGAGACAAACAAACCCTTTAATGAAGGGATGCAACTGATGTTACCAAGTTCAGAAAGTCTGTTGCTGTTGAGATGTATTATGTCAAGCTCTGGATTGAAGGCATCCTTGAAGATTTCACGGATCCTGTTCTCATTTAGGATCACAGTTTTTAAACCAGGCAACAAGAAAGAACCACTCGATATCTGCGAGATCAAGTTGCCTGTAAGATCTACTTTCTTTAACTGCACGAGACCCGAGAGCGAGCCCCTGTCGATGGACGTAATCCTGTTAAAGCTCAGGCCGAGGACTTTTAGCTCCTCCGGAAATTGATCACCTTGAACAAATGTGATCTTGTTGTGATCCAACATAAGCATTTTGAGTTTTGGAGCATGGGCCTTCAGGTTGCTTCCAATGTTGCGAATATTGTTGAATAACAGGTAGAGTTCTTGTAGTGACGTGAGATTGTGAAACACGGGAACGGCTGTGAGGGCGTTGCGGGATAGAGTAAGAAATTTCATCTGGCGGAGGATCATAAACAACCGATCATCGATAAACTTGAAACCATTTTCCATTAAATTGAGATAGATGATGTCTGACCGATTCTGGAAAAGATCAGGTGATAATTTTAAATGTGGTACATGGAGATCGAGGCCACGGAAGTCTGCATCTTCAAAAGTGTGTTTTAGCTGAGCCCTTAAGCGGAAGACCCCTTGGCAGGAAACGTGTTGTAATGTACCAAAACATAAGCAGTCTCTGCAGATATCAATGTGTTCAGGAACAGCGAAGTACAGCATGGCAATCAGCATGAACAAAGCAAGGCATGGTTTACCAGTATGTCCCCGTCGTCTGGGTGCCATCGTTCCGTCTTTGTTGATGACAAAAAAACCTGGAAATGTAACGATAAAAACAATGAAATGACGGGTGCACGCGTATTGCGGAAGGTTCGTAATTCCAATGGTTCGTAATTCCGAAGGTTAACAATGTCGAACACGAAACTTTCTATATGACTGGCTTTATTTTTTAGAAGGTCAAAGGAGACGACCAACCAGGTATTTAGATGGTTTTAATAAACGAATAAAATGAGAGAAACAGGTCAATGAAATTTTGAGCAGTAACCGATTGAAAATATGAAAGTTATGAAATATTTTTGTGTGTGATTAATCAAACACAAATTGGCATCTCTGTGACGTATCTTTTGAGCTCCCCTCTCATTTGCCCTGTACTAAAGAACTTCAGGAATTCATATTTTCTCTAATCAAAATGTTCGTTCATACATTCACTGTAGAGGTGTCGTGGTCTAGTGAAAACGTCACTAGACTGTTCGTCACTCGCTACTCGAGTCCCGCTGGACTGACGTCTTTTAGCGAGACATTAATATACATATATTTGCCAAAATGGATACCAAGTAGCAAGAAATTCCTTGAATGCTTGAGTGCCTCGCCTTAGTAATAATACTATTGCAGGTCCCTCGGGGAGTACAATATTAATACTGATGAGGCTACCTATGGTAATAATACATATTCAATTCAATTCGTAGCCAAAAGCTCAAAAATAAGTGAGAGGGGAGATTATATGTAATCTTCTTGCATGATCTGAATATCCAACCACGCACCTAAATACAAACGATCACACCCAGTTCAGTTCAGTTCAGTCTATTTAATTTTTTGCGCGGCACCAACTTCAGCCAAAGGCTGTTCTTCTGTAGGTGCGTGCGCAATATAAAAAATACATGTAAAATATTATAAGATAACATATGTCATAACAAACAAATACTTTTTTTTTAAACCAAACAATAACTTGAGTATAACGATAAAAATGAATATGTACAAACCAAGATACTACCCCCCCCCCCCTGTCTGCACTTGTTCTTTCCAAACAGCGTTTAATTTAGATTTCTTTTTTTCTTTTCTTTTTCCTGATATTTATACAGGGTGGCACATATCACCAATTTGGTGGTCTTCCATGAGGCCCTGTTTGGTAATAATCAACAAATAACAGCATCAAAAACAAAATAGATAATACACAAGCAATAGACAGGTAAAATACAAATTAATTGGTATCCCCATGAAATAACTGATCATTCAAGAATCATCCTTGATCATTTACAAGAAATAGGTGAATGGAATTTCCAAATTAAATACAATTATTAAAAACGTTCATTTAATAATCTGATATAGCTTAACGCACGGGATACCAAAATTGTCATATACATATTTACATTCAATTGCTCTTTAACTAATACACTTAGGTTGTTTACAAGATATCTGAAAATGGATACATAACATGTATGAATACATGATATAACGATAACCATGTCAACCAAATTTCATAATTTTGCAAATAGGAAAAAAATGGTTACCTTCGCACGAAACCCCAAAAAGTTCACTTACACGTCATCTACAGATAACAGGGCTTTTAGAGCGTGTTTAAAACTGTTCAAAGTAGGTGACATTTTGACAGGACTTTTAAGTTGGTTCCATACTCTAATTCCAGAAATTAGAGGACTATTTTTATATTAAGTGTCCGTCCTAAATTTGGGTACACACAATACATCCCTTACAGCATGTCTTGTGTTGTGATCATGTAGTGAACTAACATGGTGTAAATCTTGTTTTAAGTATGTTGGTGTCATGTCATGCATTGATTTATACATCGAATATCGACATAACATTGTCATTAATGTATTATTTTTATAGAAATATGTACCGCCGTCGTTAGGTAAACAATACTTTTTGCAAGAGAGTATGTATATTTTTGATCATGTGACACACATTGAACCCATCAAAAACCAATAAATTGTCGATGCATGATATAACAATTGTTGTTACACCGGTAATATTGGATTGAATTGCTAATCCGCACATCGAACTTACAAAGATAACTCACAGTCACATGGCTAGGATTATTATAATCGCAAGTTATATGGAACACATAAGAGGACGTGTGTGAGCTCATTTATGTTCACTTGCAAAACACATCTCGTTGCGAGAGTCACACATTATAGCTGAGATAAGCTTCCGATATGATCATTATATTCGCTATTTCGGATAAACAACGAAAACGTCTTTGTCTGCCTGATCGTAGATAGTTTATTAGTACAGTTGTTCTCTGGCTCAGGATTTCTTTCTTTGGTAAGTTAATTTTTGTTGTCTTTCCTTCAACATATTTTCAAAGAGAATTGAAATTAAACCATAGCGCTGTTATAGAAGACAATCATTGGTGAAGTTTGAATGTATTTGATTGTTATTCAATTATTAAGTTTATATGATTAGTCTAGATAACCTTATGAAAAAGCAAATTACTCTTTTCGTCATTCTAAACTTAATTTCACATAAAACATTTACTTAACATGGAGAACACATAAGAAATTCTGTAGCAGAAAGTTTTAGGCTTTGAATTAAAATACATTATAGTAAAATATATGTATCTCTTTGATTAACGTAAATAACATTTTTCAAGTAACGAATTACTATTTTCGTGGTTCTAAACTTTATTTCACACTAAAAGAAGCACTTTAATCAATCAGCAGACTGTTTTAAAGTCTGAATTCATAATACTACATAGGGCTGGAAGTCGTGACAGGATGGCGCCCGATAGAAAAAGAAATCTTCAATGTGTAAATCTGATTTTTATAATAAAATTTAGTGATGGAATTTTAGTTATCATTGTATCGGCATTCTAGAAAATTGATTTCACTTGACTTTTACGTAATACAAAAAAAAATCAAATATACATTTTCATTTGAAGGATTAATAGTTCTAAATTGCTATTGATACCAAGCTTCGTTTTGGAAAGGAAAGCTAAATCGGCTCAGAATCGAAGTCGGACGTCAGACCAGTAGTGCAATCATCTACAACCTGAAGCTGATTCTGAGTAAAATGCTTAAATGCACAAAAATTACGGTTGTTTGAATTCATATCGTTATTTAGGAAATTAACGCGGACGGTGATGTTTGTTGAACCATGTGACCAACAGTCCAGTGACGTTGTCACTAGACCTCGACACCTCTACGGTGAATGTATGATCAACATTATGTTTAGAGAAAATGTGAATTTCTGAAGTTCTTTTAGTACAGGGCAAATGGGAGGGGAGCTCAAAAGATTTGTCACAGAGATGCCAATTTGTGTTTTATTAATCACACACAAAAATAGTTCATAACTTTCTAATTTTCAATCGGTTACTGCTCAAACTTTGACTGACCTGTTTCTCTCATTTTATTCTTCTATTAAAACCAACTAAATACCTAGTTGGACGTCCCCGTTGACTTTCTTAGAAATAAAGCCCGTTGTATTCGACATTGTTAACCTTCGGAATTACGAACCATCGGAATAACGAACCTTCCGAAATACGCGTGCGCCCGTCATTATATTGTCTTTATTATTATTTTTTCAGGTTCTTTATCACCAAAGACGGAACGATGGCACCCAGACGACGGGGACATACCGGTAAACCATGCCTTGCTTTGTTCATGCTGTTTGCCATGCTGTACTTCGCTGCTCCTGAACACATTGATATCTGCAGAGACTGCTCATCATGTTTTGGTTCATTACAACGGGTATCCTGCCGAGGGGTCTTCCGGTTAGGGGCTCAGCTAAAACACACCTTTGAAGATGTAGCCTTCCGTGGCCTTGATCTTAATGTACCACATTCAAAATTATCACCTGATCTTTTCCAGAATCGGACAGGCATCATCTATCTCGATTTAGAGGACAACGGTTTCAAGCTTATCGATGATCGACTGTTTACGATCCTCCGCCAGGTGAAATACCTTACTCTATCCCGTAACGCCATCACAGCCATTCCCGTGTTTCACAATCTCACGTCACTACAAGATCTCTACCTGGTGTTCAACAATATTCGCAGCATTGGTAGCAACCTGAAGGCACATGCTCCCAAACTAAATAGATTTATGCTGGATCACAACAGGATCACATTTATCCAAGGAAATCACTTTCCAGAGGAGCTAAAAAGCATCGGCTTGAGCTTTAACAGAATTACGTCTATCGACAGGGGCTCACTCTCGGGTCTCCTGCAGTTAAAGGAAGTAGATCTTACAGGTAACTTGATCTCGCAGATATCGAGCGGTTCTTTCTTGTTGCCTGGTTTAAAAACTGTGGTCCTAAATGAGAACAGGATCCATGAAATCTTCAAGGATGCCTTCAATCCAGAACTTGACATAATACATCTCAACCACAACAGACTTTCTAAACTTGGTAACATCAGCGGCATCCCTTCATTAAAGCGTTTGTATGTCTCGTACCAGAGTGATGTCATCAAACTGCAGGAAATCCCACTTCTCGAAAATCTCACAGAACTGACCATTACTGTGGAAACGTCTCATGATGATGCCGATGGGATAGCTAGAATACTCACCAAAATGCCTAGGCTGCAGTTTTTTTCAATTTTTGAAGGGAAAGTGGATTATGTAACTATGAAAAGCCATACTCACCTTCGCGTCGTAAACTTCAACTCGTGCTCTATAAAGGATATCCACAATTTAACCCTACTACCTATGCTGTCCTCCCTATCAGCAAACAATAACCTGTTGACATCCATTTCCCGTATTTCTGGACTAAGTAACCTGGTATATGTTGATTTAAACCAGAATCTAATTGTCACAATATCAGCTTCCGATCTAGCAAATCTACCTAGATTAGAAACAATCAATTTGTCGGGCAATGAAATAGCATTCATATCAGGACGGTTTGATGTTCAAAATCTTCAATCGATAAACCTGTCAAAGAATAAAATTCATAGTATTTCAAGTAGTGCTTTTTCCAACCTGCGTAGACTAATTGATATCACCATCAACTACAACCCAATAAGTAACAAGAATCAAATCGAAGTTATCCGACAA